ATTTGAAGAGTACTATCCTTCAAATAGAAAGAGATTTAATGAGTGGACTACACTTATTTTATTAGAAAGAGATTTGTTAAGTTAGGTACTTTTATTTACATTAAAAGAAATTAAATGTGTTTAGTACTTTCATTTATATGTAAAGAGATTTGTTTAGTTGCGTACTTTTATTCAAATAGAAAGAGATTTGACGAGTTAAGTACTTTTATTCATATAGAAAGAGATTTGAAAAATTGAGTACTTCTATTCATGTAGAAAGAAATTTGATACGCTGAGTACTTTTATACAGGTTGAAAAACTTTAGATATGTTTAGTACTTTTATTTAAGTAGAAAGAGATTTGATGAGTTAAGGACTTTTTTTCAAGTAGAAATAGTTTTTATGAATTTAGTACTTTTGTCTAAAAAGAAAGAGATTTGATAAATTAAGTACTTTTAATTAAAGAGAATATTTTTGATGAGTTGAGTACTTTTTTTTAGGTGAAAGAGATTTGATGAGTTTAGTAAATATTTTCAAGAAGAATAAGATTTGATAAGTTGAAAACTTATAATAAAACTGCAACAGATTTTGTAAGTATAGTACGTTAATTCCAGTAAAAAAAAGATTTAAAGAGTTTTATTTTTTTATTTAAATAAAAAGAAATTTACTGAAATGAGTACGTTTCTTTTAATAGTAAGAGATTTGATATGTTTAGTAGTTTTTTTTGAATAGAAAGAAATTTGATAGTTTGAGTACTATATTGTAAGTAAAAAGAGACTTAATGAGTTGTGCAATTTGATTTTAGTAGGAAGAGATTTAATGAGTCAAGTACTTTCATGTAAAAACAAAGAGATTTGATGAGTTGAGTACTTTTATATAGGTTAAAAGAGATTTGATAAGATAAGTATTTTTATTCAAACAGGAAGAAAATTTAAAAGTTGTGTATTTTTATTCAAATAGAAAGAGATTTTCTGACTTAGGTACGTTTATTTAAATAAAAAGATTTTTGATGAGTTAAGTACGTTTCATCAAATAGAAAGATATAAGACGTGTTGAGTACTTTCATTTAAATAGAAAAAGAATTAAAAAGTTGAGTACTTTTAATCAGGTAGGAAGATATTTGATCTGTTAAGTCCTTTAATTCAGGTAGAAAAGATTTGACGAGTTTAGTACTTTTACTTAAATAGAAAGTGATTTGAAGCGATGAGTACTTTCATTTGAATAGAAAAAGATTAATTGAGGTTACTACTTTTATTCAAATACAAAGAGATTTAATAAGTTGAGGACTTTCAATCAAAAAAAAAGATGTAATGAGGTATATACTTTCATTTAAATAAATTAAAATTTCATAAGTTCAGTACTTTTATTAAAATGGATAGAGAATTGATGAGTTAAGTACTTTCATTTAAATTGAAAGAGGTTTGATAAGTTGTGTAGTTTCATTCAAATAGAAAGAGATTATATAAGTAATGTACTTTCATTCGAATAAAAAGTGATTTGATGAGTTAAGTACCTTTATTTAAATAGAAAGAGATTTTAAAAGTACGTTTTTTTTATTTAAATAGAAAGAGATTTTATGAGTTATTACTTTCTAACAAATAAAATAAGATATTATGAGTTTAGTACTTTCATTTAAATGAAAAAAGAGTTGATATGTTAAGAACTTCTTCCCTAATATATAGAAATTTGATAAGTTAAGTACTTTTATTCAAAAAGAGAGAGATTTGATGAGTTGAGTATATAAGTTCAAATAGAAAGAGATTTAATTTTTTAAATACTTTTATTCAAATACAAAGAGGTCAGATGAGCCTAATACTTTTATTAAAATAGGAAGAATTATCATGAGCTTATAACTTTCATTCAAATAGAAAGATATTTAATAA